AAATGATGATGCATGGATGGTACTGTAATCATTGCAATTAAACAAAATATGACAGGATGAGTGCAAAACCTATGTCCTCTCATGTAAACTATCACTCAATTCACAATAAAAGCTATTAAAAAAAAAGAAAAAAGTCTGGAGAACGTGAATAATAATGCCAGTAGCTGCTGTCATGACTTCAGAAGTATTCATTCACATGTATCTCTTGCTGCCTCCTCCAATGTCACCAGGTCTGCACAAAACACCTTCATCATTACCATTCCCAAGTAACACAATAGCTACTACTACAATGCTTTTAAACCCCACTGCATTCTGTTCTTTTCTGCCTTTATCTCTTCTGTTTTTATTGTGTCCCCCACCAATCTTTGTGTGTGTGTGTGTGTGTTTAATAAAAAGGGTTGAGCTTTTCATAAACACTACCAACTAAAAATTCCTCCAGCCACATAGTTACTGGGCAAGACTAATGAAATAACACAAAAATACATCATAATAATAATAGTAAATCCTGGCCTCAAGGAATTTAAGTCTATTACGGGAGATAAGTCACATCCACAAACAACTGTAACATATTAGAAGTTGGTACATGCCATAGGAAAAGAGATAAGATAGACTGTCATGATGGTTCATAAAGAAGAGACATTTCTCTACTTTTACTTGCATAGGCTATTTTCATTGCAACTAAATTGCTTTAATACTGCTTTGTTACAAAGACTTTCTGTAACTAACCTAGATACAGTCACATAAACTCCAGATGCTTGCAGACTTTAAAAAGCCTTTGTCTGGATGAGAGAGGTCTGCACAGCTAAGCAAGCAAATGTGTACATGATTAAAATCTAGAAGACCTGATTGTAGACTTCCCTAGTTACTGTTCTTTACTTTTTGCTTCTGAACATCGACTTAACAGTGTGTCAAAATCAAGGGTTATGATCATCTTTATAAATGAATACGCCTAAGCATTTTTGTTTTTGTTTTCCAGACCTGTATGGAGAAAGTCAAGAATAGGATCTTAATGCTTTCTCTTTAGAGGTTTGAAAGAAAAGAAACCAAAAATTCATTTCTAAACATAGTATGTTTAGAAATGAAAGAAAAATTCATTTCTTTCAAAATTGGTTCCTTGAACCTGAGACAACTCCCAAAAAGGGCGACAGAACATATCACCTCAGCAATAAAAGCTTGGCAAACTAAACAAAAGGTTAAAACTACCTTTTAAAATCTCTGTGAGTTTTCAGCAGGGAGCCTGCCTGTGTTTGCTGCTAACCTCTAGTCTAGGATCACATCAATTTGCCCATTTTGCTGCTATATCTATTAGATTTCAATACAACTTAAAGCTGAATATTTCCATGCTGGCCCATCTCTGGTTTTAGCATGGGGGAATAAAAAAACCACAAAACATTTTATTAGGCTTGTCAATGTCATAGACCTATTTACAAGGTAATGTTCAGCTTCACGTTAAATATCTATTTTTGTACTTCTGATTATCAATATGAAGAAATTTACTCAAAAGTATATAGAAACATAATAATAGTTATTATTAGAAAAAGAAAACAAAGGCATTACCTTGATGTGCAAGATTGCTGTCCCTGGAGGATGTGCATCTGTTATTGATCTTAGAAGTTTTCCACTGGCCAAATCCCACATGGTGATCTGTAAGACAACTAAGTGCTTTAAAAACAAATTTATTGCTCTTTTCTGGGCTTAAGTATCCTGCCTTCTGCCTGATATCATCTATTCCTGGTCTATAAACATTATAGGCAAAGAACTATAAAGTTAAAACATAACTAAAGACTGCAGGTTCATTAAAGCATGAGGCCTTTATCCTATCTTCATCTACTCCTCATCCTACCTAGCCTACTTTCCCCTTTTGATTTTTAAAGTTCTTCTACAGAAAGGCAAAAAGAAAGCTCTCTAATGATTCAATCTGTTTAGCGCTGATAAAAACTGCAGAAAAAGCGTACTGCCAAACCAGCGGGTGATATATAAATCAGAAGATGCAAAGAACCATAACCCACTGCCAGTTTCTAATGAAAAAAAGAAAGAAATACCAAAATAGTTATTTGGGAGCATGGTAGTAAGAATAGACAGCAGAATATAGTGTATAGAGCAGCCACAGTATTCTATTCTCAGGAAGCTCTCAAGAAGATTACAGTTTAGAAAACCCTACAGGGCAGTTCTTCTCTTGTCACAAAGGGTTGCCATGAATAGGCACTGATTGACCAACAACACAACTGTAAGGAAGCAAAGGGGGCTTCCAAAAGATGGTGGAAAATGGAAATGAAAGATTATTGTTCCAAAAACTTTTTGAAATTTTTTCATATAATGCCCCCTCCCACTACGCTGGTTTATAAAGGCTATTTATATATACACTGTTGCTGTTAAGTACTGTTGAGTCAGTTCTGACTTATAACAATCCTGTGTAAGGTTTCTGAGCAACAGCTGGTGGGTTTGAACCACTGGCCTTGTGGTTAGCAGTCCAGTGCTTATCCTACAGTGTCACACTAGGACTCCATTTATCTATGCTGTTGTTGTTGTTGTTAGGTGCCATCGAGTCAGTACCAACTCATAGTGATCCTATGCACAACAGAACGAAACACTGCCTGATCCTGGGCCAACCTCATTTACCTATGTTGTTGTTATGTGCCGTGAAGTCAGTTCCAACTCATAGCGACCCTG